ATTTAGATGGAATTTTGCAGAATTTTTATAATTTTGCACAAAGTTTGATATATGAAGTTATATGGTCTTTGTTAGGTAATGAGCTATGCTTTTATAAAAAAAAATAATAGATAAATATTAAAACCTAAACAAAAGAAAATTAGGAAAAAATTTGTTAAAATGTCGTGTCCCTATTTATTTTTCCACCATTGTATGAAAATCTAGCGCTAATGTTGATTGGCGAATATATTTATGAATGAATTATTGCACATAAAATGTGTAAATACGAAAATCTTCAAAAACCACCTCGTCAAAAAAAAATATATTAGAAATAGTTCTTACAAACTCCCAATAAACAGAATTGGCACACAATATCACTTTGAAATGGCGTGCTATAGATATGACCGATACTGTATACTTACGGTGACCATCCGTCCTGTATTATAAGGGACAGCCCTCTTTTTTCGGCCTTTGTCGTGGTAATTTATTTATTTCATACGGGACGCCAAATGTTCTGTATTTCTTTTCATGTCCCGTATTTTTCCCGTATTCGGTATTTTGGCGCCTTAACAGCTCATAAAAATGGCATGCCTATGAACTTGTTTTAAATGTTAAATCTGAATGCTGGTGATTCGAATCGATCAGCACATATCGATAGCTGAGTGGAAGATCGATCTATCTCAGCAGCCAGTTCGAAAACGCCCTGTCTCAGAAAACTCTTCAGGAACGCCCTACTTCAGAATTTCATTGAAGAATGGACCTATTTCAAAATTTTATTGAAAAATACCCTACCTCAGAATTTGGTTGAAGAACACCCTATTTCAGAATTAGGTTCAAAAATGCCTTTCTCAAACGAAAGTTTTGAAATCGGCAGTTGAACTAGGGAATTTTTGAACTGAATTCTGAGATAGGGCATTTTTTAATAAAATTTTAAAATAGAGCGTTCTTCAACCAAATTCTGAAACAGGGCATTGTTGAAAAATTTTCTGACATAGGGCGTTTTCGAACTGGCTGCCGAGATAGGTCGATCTTTCACTCAGCCATCGATATGTAGATGGTTTCTGAAGTTATAATTTTGCTAAAATTTCAAATTTTGCATACGTATATGGATTCCAAAACCAACAAGCTTGCTGTCCAATGTGCCGGGTGTGGAGGATATTTTCAAATTTTGTGAAGAGATGTTCATTAGGCGAAACTACAAAACTAAACTAAACGAAACTAAAGAAATTATTGCTGATTGTATGAGGGATTGTATCTTCAAGATGAGAAACTTTAAATGAGATAGCTGCCCGGAGGCCGCATTATTGCATCCCCCTTGTGCATATTGTTTCTTATGATAAATTTTTCCAATAACAGAAAAATTCTTTTGAACGAGGTGCTATAGCTTCCCTATCAATCAAAAGGAATACTCCTGGATTACTCTCTTCGGAGATTTGGTTTTTGTTCCTAAGTGAGTAATAACGGAGTACAAAACCGACACAATCTCAGTTATTGCTCCGAAATCATGCCTCGGGGAGCATTCTTTTGTTGCTCACTTAAGAGATCTCCGATTTG